ACAATTGTATGCAAACAATACATGGGACTGGTAAGCTTTGATATACAAAAAGCGTATGATATGACTTGGAGTTACCGAATTACTTCAACCTTACTAGACTGGGGTGTTAAAGGTAACATTTTATATTTCATACACAATTTCCTAATTGACCGAACATTTGAAGTTGCTGTTGATGGACAACATTCATTCTTATATAACCTGAATAACGGAATTGTCCAAGGCTCATCCATAAGTGTAAAATTATTTCTAATTGCAATAAATGACTTATCTAAACTTATACCCACCCCTGGAAAAATTACAATGTATGCGGATGACAGCAATATTTTCTTTCGACACAAATGTATTGACACATTAGGAAAAGAATTATAGACATACACCAACTCGTTAAATGATTGGAGCAAAAATACAGGGTTCAAATTTTCACTAGAAAAATCCCAGTTTATAATATTTTCACACAAAAAAATTAAAAAAAAAACCAATTATAAAAATGGACAACAAAATAATTCTTTACACAAAACACTTAAAAATATTAGGTCTTACTTTCGACGAAAAACTAACATGGACCACACACATAAAAAAGCTAAAAGACAAAGCCAAAAAAGACTGAACATTATCAAAGTACTTTCAGGCACGAAATGGGGAGCAGATTCTAAAACCCTGATAAAAATTTACAATTCACTTATTAGATCAATTTTGGATTACGGATCCCCCTTATATATGACATCGAGAAACTCAGCACTGACAATGCTTGACGTTACCCATAATGCTGGCGTAAGAATGGCATCCGGAGCATTTAGAAATAGTCTCATAAACAGCATACTCAATATTACTGGAGAACAACCACTTCATAATCGGAGAAATCAACTGATGTTGCAATACGCAGTAAGAACAGCAACTAACCCAAACAAACCAACGTATTACACAGTATTCAATATTCAGTATTTCGAAAATGCTTTTAACAATAACAAAAGATTAATACAACCTATGTACAAAAGAATAAAAGAAAAAGAAGAAGAACTAAAATTAGAAATAAATAATATATTGACTAGAGAAGTATTCGTAAAACCTCCATAGATAACGACAAAATACTCGTTTGACATGTCGATAGCGATTTACAACAAAAAAAAAACACAAATCTTACATACAAAAATGTATTCTATGAATTAATAAACAAATTACCGGACCACATACATATATATACCGATGCCTCAAAAACAGACAAAGGGGTTGGTGTTGCTGCAGTTTTCCGACAAACTGAACTTTCCGAAAGGTTGTCGGATAATTGTATAGCTAAGGAACTAGCTATATATAAAGCACTATCTTATATAATAAGTACCAACCTGCATAATAATAAGTACATCATTTTAACAGACTCCATGAGCACTCTAGCTAGTCTTAGTAATATTAATAACGATAATGTTATAATTAATAAAATAATCAACTTGACTAATAAATTTAACGATAACTTAATCTTTGCATGGATTCCCGGACACTGCGGAATAACTGGTAATGAAAGAGCGGACTTACTTGCCAAGGAAAAAGCCAATAACCCACATCAACTAACCGTGTGGAATATTAAATCCGACAAAGATATTAAAAAAATTATATACAACCAAATCAAAAATAACTGGCAAAAATAATGGCTCAAAATGAATAGTAAATTAAATGAGATAAAAAGAACTATCGAAAAATGGAATAACCCAATGTCGCTCAAAAGGAGAGAGGAAGTCGTACTAAATCATCTTAGAATAGGCCATACGCATCACACACATGGCCACCTCATGAAAAAAGAGCCACCAAAATATGCCTTACATGTGGAATTTCAACTACAATCAAACATATTATTACCGAATGCAGAGACACAAAAGAGACACGACAAAAATTCAACATACCGGAACACCTTCACGACGCACTGGGCCCTGACGAAAAATCCATCCAAAATGTAATTTTATTTTTGAAAGATATCGAATTGTACAATTTAATTTAAGTTACCATTATTAGTAAAAACAAGCCAATGGTCACGTTACCGAGGCTTTTTCCATAATTTAAAAAAAAAAAAAATTCACAGTATGACTATTGTATAATATTGACATACAATACAATATTTAATTTGAAAATGTAAATGATTATGGTACCAAACGGTTATGACCATGAGTCTAAATATTAACATGATTCGATGTCATAATGTGATAAAGCGTACAACTTTAGAGCTGTAATTTTGTTTTACGCTTTTAAACCATAAGGTTAACATTCACTCTGGAATCTAATCAAAATTTCTTTAGTTATGCGAACGTTTTGGAATGCCTCTAGTCCGATAGCAATTAAACGTAATTAAACCTATCAATAAAAACCTACCAATTAAGAAATCATAGCAGTTTTATTCTGGTGGTTTCACTATAACAGTTAACCTATATATTTCTGCATTGATATTTCAATGAAACGCAAAATATATTTTATAATTCAGATCAAAAACAAATAGTGGGCTTTGGTCATATACATCGTTACCGGATGCTGTAAATCATAGTTAAAATGGTGATTTTAAATGCCAAATGTAATTATTTGAAATTATAATTTTTTTGTGATATGATTAACATTAATTTTGTCAATTTTGATTGATACAAAAATAGTCATTATTAATGACAGCAATAAGAAATAACTATATTCAATCCATATGAATTTCATGAAATAAATTTGATTAAAAACGATTTATAAAACAAACATCTGTATAATGATTATAAAACGAAAGAATAATTAATATACGAGTAAAAAGGAAATAGTTCCCAGTTATTATAACGATTTTTTATTTGGATATATATTTTTTTAATTTTATTTGTGCAATCAATTTAGGTAGTAAATTATGGCAATTGTTATGGACAAAAAATATATGAAATCGTTATACTCAAAAAATTCCAAAAAAAGAAAATATGTACTGGTATTTTTAAATATAAATACACTTGATATTACTAATTTAAAAATTATATTATATATTTGAATACGTTCAATTTTTTCCCGACAAAATTAAGTTATTTTTGTTGTATGCAATATTTGATATAATTAATGAAAGAATGGAATTGTTAATTATAAATAATTGCAGTGATTTATTTTTTCATAACTGGTCAGACTCTATTCGTATTCGATAAAATATAGATCCCCATTATATTATAATTTCCGAAGCTTTAGTTACTTTTGACCTAAATTTTAGCTTACAATTAAATTGCTAGCTTATTAAAACCATAATACCAATATTAGGAGCTTTCATGTTTTGGTTAATGAAGAAACTCAAGGTTATCAAGCACTTGGTCTAAAGTTAATACAAACGCTTGTATCAACAAATAGGACAAACGAAATTACTAACAAATTTATTCATGTAAAGTAGACCAGGAATAACAAAACCTAAATTATCTTTAATTTTACTTATTTCTTATTCCGCGTAGTAGAACAATACATATTAAAATGTATAAGACAATTCATCAGGAACAAGATATTTTTAGTATCGCAAAACAATGGGAAAGTAAGATGTTCTTCAATTATTAAAATGCACATTTCAATTATCTCATATTTATTTTTAATAAATAATATACTTTCAAGAATAATTTTATATATGCATATTTTTTTTATCAAAATAAATTAAATGTTTAAGCAGTTTTTGTAGGTTAAGAAATCAACGATAAACGATCATAATATTATAGTTTGTGATGAATCTTATAATTCTACTTAATAATAATACTTGTAAAATATTAATAATAAATGTTTACGTAACCAATAAACATAATTTTGGTGAAAATAAATATATTTATACTTGTACAAGTAATAGGAATTCATTTTTAACCCAACATCCAAGTATCTCAAATCGATAAATCATGTATAATTATAAATACATGTAAATATCTTAGCGGATACCAAGAATTTTCAGCGGGATTGTTGAATGTTAGTACTCTATACACCTACTTTTATACTTCTTTCTCCGGATAATTGTATTTTTGTTTTAAATTGGAAATTCCGTTTAAAAAATATCATAAACTTTAAGTATTTTAACAAATTAAACTTTCTAGAAATTGCTAACAATAGTTGTACACTCTAATACTATACTTGTAATCAAATTAAATAACGAAGCATCTATTCGTAAGTCGACCAAGCAGTTAACTAACAGTATAGGATACAAATAATTCAAAACTATTTCACTCCAAAAAAATGATACCAAAAACTCAGACTTAAAAATCATTACCAGTACACAATTTTCGACGATAAATAAAAAAAAAAAAAAATTGAATAAAGGCGTCTCCCGGTTCCACATTATTTATTTATACAATTATATTTTTCCAATCACACATATTTTGTCAACTGAAAAATTAGTGCATTTTTTTCTTGCTTTAAAATTTATCTGGTAGTCAGAACCAATATTATTCTATAGAATTTATTAAACTCAGGAGTACAGTTTTCCAAACATAATTTGATTACTTTTGCAATATTAAGTGAAAATAATCATATAATTGTTATTAGTAGCACCTCAAACTCTACAATTACGTCTTGATACCATTGAAAAATGATTGTCTAAACGAAAACTTAAAATTAACGCCGACAAATCGTCCCATATCTTCTTCTCGGAAAGAAAAAAATACACATCCTCGATGATGTTCTTCGCCTTGGGGGAGAACCAATCTCAGTTAAAAATCAAATTAAAATATAATTTTATTTCACGGAGTTTCTTAACAGTGATTATAAAAGTTTTAAATTAACATAAATAATTTGACGTCCTGTACAATTTGTAATATAATCAAACAACAATGAAAATTTTAACTTAGATAATTGTTTGTAAATTATATATTTATTTTAATTGTGTATTATTCCTTTTAGAATACAAACGGTTAGTAAATACCTAAGGGAGGGTTATCATTTTTATTTTTGTGTTAACAATACAGAAAACTAAAAACCAAAATAAACGTGTTAGTTGGTTCAGTAAGTCGACAAAAAGATGAATATGAAAACTGATAAATTGAAACATATTTTGTTTTATGCTCAATTCATTTATTCTCTTCAAATAATTGTAAATATAAAAAAAAAAAACTAAAAGGTGTTTATCAATTTAAGGGTTTTTTCATTAAATTATAAACGGGGATAATATAAATTGGGCGTAGGAGATCGGTTTTAGTCAACTACAAGAATTTTTTCATAAAATATTGGGATTGAAAAAAATATCACAGTAAAAACATTTGTTGTAATTGAATGTACATTAAATATAAAATGTTCGTAATATTAATACTGAATGGGATTTCTTATATCTAATCGTGGATTTCATAAATATTAAAAGCTACAACATTATTTAAAATACATCTAAACAAACGTGCTGTTAAAAAAAAATAATTTTATATCTAACTATACGTGTGTGGTTTCTCTTCGATTTACGCTTTAGCAAACTTTTGACGCAAAGTTATAACAACGTAATCCGAACGTGTATTCAATTTCAATACAGCATTGAACTTTTCCAAATCAAAAATAAACGTATTCTTATTAATGGTTATATAAAGTGTTAAACTTCACGAATAGAATATATTTTTGAAAATGTAGAATCTACCATGAAGATGATTCGTAAGATGATTAAGTCAAGCCATATTGAAAATGAACAAATATATTAACTGCTCTATCTGTATTAAAAAAAACGAATGCACATATTGTACTTACGAGTGCACATTAGTTCTCATAGATAGCGTTTTGTCATTTATTGTTTTCCAGTAAGTAGTTCAGTGTAAACAATTACAATTCGTTTTTTTTTTATTTTTTACCGAAAATAATAGTAACCGTTGTTAAAATTATAATACAATTAGTACGAAGACTACTCTTTGAGTATTGTAATTTTTCATATAACTCCCAATCATATTGTTATA